TCCAATATTCATTTTAATTCGTCCAAGTTGAAGATTTTTATGTGCACGTATTATTGATTGAACAATTCCATTAACACATGCTTCCCAATTCTCTTTAACAAAACCAAATGTTGTTATATCAACAAGAGCAGTTCCACCTGTACCACCTGGTGTTGAATGTGTATGAGTACCTGACATTAATACATTTTTATCATTATATAATTTTGATCCAAATGTTTTATTTAAACGATCAACAACTTCTGTTTTTATTATTTGAAATCCCATTCCATTATCAACTGATACATAAACAACACGATTTGCTTCTTTATTAGGATCACCAATAATAAATGCACGAGATCGCATTCGTTGTAATAAACCACGACCTCGTTGCTTTGGAACTGCATAGCCCATAAATCCAACTAAAAAAAAATAACTCATTCAATTTTAGATTAAGAAAATTAAATTACATACTTTCAGCGACTTGTCCGGTTACATCATATATCCCGGCTCCAATCTAAAATATATTTCATTATATAAATTTGAAAATTTCAATTTTTGTTTTCAATAACTTACTAAAAATTTTCCAGGATCATTTTGCTGTGTTACAGTGTAATCAGTGCATAGGACAATTAAAATAAATGTCCACAAATATACACCGATCTTCATCTTAAAAAATTTAGAAAAATCTCTGTATTTATATTATGATGTTTTCCTTTTATTTTATGACTATGTGTGAACTTAAAATATTTCTTTGTTTATGTCTCTACACACATATATATTACGACATAAACAATAAGACTTCTTTTACTAAAATAAAGTTAACGTGCGTTATTTTAACTAAACCGTCGAACATTAAAGAATTGTAAAACTAATAAAAAGAAAAATGACATAAACAAATAAACATAGAAAGATAATAATGGCAAACATTCATACTTTCTTTTATCGTAGAGACAACATCTTATATTTACTTTCCTTTATCTTATGATCTAAACGATCTTATACCACGTTTTGTTAAGAATAAAAATATTATTTTATTCAATTATTTAATTATATATCTTGTAATCATAAATAATTCAAGCGAAAAAAAACCATAATATTTTTCTATAGAGAATCTATTTTGTCTTCAATAATATAATAGACAAATTTATTAATCTAATTTTTTATTTAACAGTACATGTTTAGTTATTTATCGTTTCTATTCGTCTCCGATATTTAGTTGTAATATGATCATCAATTTAAGTAAATCAAAATTAGAAGCTATTTTCAATCCTGAAATATTGACTACAAAAAATACAACTGAAGCTCAGCGCCAGTGATGGAAAGTATCTCCGTTGTTTAGTTAGTAGTGTAAAGATAACTTTCTGCATGTTTCCAGATGGTTTTCGTCAATTTTTTTGATAGCAATTTCTAACAAGTTTTCTTCAGTTCAGAGAAATTTTCGTCTGTAGTATTCTGTGATAGCGACTAATGGTGCCAAGAAACTTGATTAAACTGTCTACGGCAAGATAAGATGCTTAAAAATATCTGGAGTTTTTGTGATAATCGAATTTAGAACGATTCTAATACTCATGCGACAACTAAACCTTCAAAATGTAACTAAAATCTCTGCTATTCTCGGTGGCATTATAGTTATCATGATTATGACCGACTTCGATGGTGGAAAAATTTGAGAAACTTCTGAAATCTATAATAAATTAATGAATTGATCTCGAAGTCTGATTTTTATGTAGAAGCTGGTCGGAAGCGATAATATCTTTACGAAAAGATAAATGTAGGAAAAGAATTGTAATACTCCTACTTTGATTGCTTTGAATCACACTATTGTAGTTCAGGTTCTTCTAGTTCAGACACTGGTTTTGATGATTAAATCTAAATAAAAATGAATGAGATAACTTATGGTTATTTAAAATAAAAAATATACATTACAAGATATAGATTAAATGAGTCTTTATATATGTTATATTGTAAGGTAAAGTTAGTTTTCCCTTTTTAATGCTATCTAATAATACTTTACATTAAATTTATTACTAAGTAGGGAGATCACATGAGACTTTTATTTCAATGTTAACTGTAAGCCATGATCAGATAAAACTGTCATCTTATATTTTTTATCTGACAATAAATTTGATTTAAAATATAATAGCATAAAAATAGAAAAAGGAATAACTGTCGCTGTAAAAATTCGGCATAGCATAATAAACTCTTCAGAAAGATTTATTGATTTCATAAATTACTTCAGATACCCTTTTAGTTGATAAAGCATAAGAAGGGTATTCTAAAAATATCTTTATCAGGGTTTATTATTCAATGTCGATTTTTCACAGTGCTTACTCATGAATGTAGATAAATCAGTCGAAAACGGTCGATACGTTTCGATTCTTTTTTTACTTGATATTTAACTATGGTTAAGCAGTGAATAGGTGATGAATCAAGTTTTGTCTGTTTAACTTGACGTTTAATCAGAATCATTTGTACAACAACATCTTTTTTCAGATGTGTATTACTAATCTTTGTTGTTTTTTTCGTTGTCTTCTCCGTAAGATTTATTCAATAGATATCTCTACGCTTCGTCACATGTAAAAACATTCCAACACTTCTTTCGACTACTTAAAAGAGAGTGTGGATGTAGGTGTGTGGCTATGATTTGCTCTCTTCCAAGTTTCGCCAAAACCGACACCCTCATCAAGAAGCATTATTAAAAATAGAGGAATATATTAATGAGATTTGATCTTTATCGGATGAACCTATTAAACAACATTGTTTAGCCGCAACTACTGATCTATGGACGGATGATTTAATAAAAAGAAGTTATTTGGATTTTACTGTATTTTATGTTAATAACAGTTACCAATTAAAACATAGCTTATTGAAATGTAAATATTTTGATCAAGGCAAAGCTACAGTTAATATATGCACGAATTAAAGAAGTTTTCAATACATTTAATTTATCTTTCGGTAATACTCCAGTTACTACTGACCAAGGATCTAATATGAGTAAAGCTTTGAGTTCAAATGATGAAGCTAAATATCCTTGTTTAGCGCACAGAACCAATACAATATATGTGAAAAAGTTGCTTGCAGTAAATTTTTTTAAAATATAGAATTCAAGCCATGACGATCCTCATCAATGATATCGTATTGAAAATTCAATTTCGACAGTCAATGACTTTGGAATTAATGAATTAGTTGAAATATGAGAAAAAGTTAGTTAAAAACTTTTTTTGAAAATTTAAAGCTCTATGATTTTTTAATCGATAGAATTCAAGCCATGACGATCCTGATCAATTAGAAACCACGTAAGGAAATGTGAAAAAATCAACGCCGAGCGTGGGTGGGTGTAGGTGTGTGGCTATGATTTACTCTTTTCCTATTGTCACGTACATCCATCTATCCACACCAACCGCACCCGCATCCACTCCTCACCAATACCTGAAAAAGAAAATGTTAGGCAGTTGGCTCATAAAAGTCGTGCTCGACGTCGTTTATCTGATTGGAAACCGTATTAGGTAGTGATGGCCGTATGACTAAATCGATGGAAAAAAACTATCTGATTATTATGGTTATCAAAACGGCTGACCAGTCAACTAACGAAAGGTATGTTAGTCTTTTTCTATAGTTATAAGTTTGAATCGTATTGTGGATTTCAGTGAAGATGAAGCTATAATTCTGAAGCAGCGGAATTATTGAGCTGCATTCATGCACAACATCAAACAGACTGATCGTAAAATTCAACATTCTCTTTGTCCGACAGGACTTTATTCATGGTGCTCCTATCAAAAAGATAAATATGTACAATTAAAAGAAAGACCGGTTCCTATGAAAGGTTTGCAACGACTTGATTTGGAAAGACTAACAAGTTTCTTATTTAATTTTGAAGTGACGATAATTTGTAGATTTCCCTCAAAATTCTAACAACTATGACTAACATATTAACTAATCAATTATTATGACGGCGATGTTTGCGAGGCGCTTTTCAAAATACAAACGAGGCAATCAGTGCTGTTCTTCGGTCTATCTTTCCAAAAGCAAAGTATCACGGGTACCGATCAATACGAGGTGCAGCTGCAATCGCAACAATTTTCTTCAACCATGTTACTCTTCTTCTCATGACCTTGTACTGATATTTTGCTTTTCAGTTATAAAATTTAAATGAAAATGAAATAGATTTAAATAAATGGTTAATGAATATATTTATTCATCTGTCATAGCTTAGTAAACTTTTTAAAAGTTGACCATGTAATAAATAAAGTTTGATTGTACATAGAATAAACCAAATCTCATCATTTGAATTATAAAAATCGATTAAATATAATAATTAATCAATATGTAAGATTGATAATTAGCCGAAAGAATTAGATTTTGTCTTATTTATTTTCAATGGAACATATTATGAATACTTTTCTATATTTCAGAAATAAGAACCTTTTAAAATGATATCGACAACTTTTGTTTTTGAGAGAATTGACTGTTATACTCCATCATTTGACCACATCTGTGATTTTGATATAAGAAAAATAATTAAACAAAATATTACAAATACAATCGATAAGAATTCATGTCCTACTAAGAAATATGACTAAAATATTTTATACATAAAAAATACATTATTATGTCAATTTTTATTTAAATTAACAAGCATTATGGTTATCAGTTATGAAAAAAAATATGTTCTGTCTTTTCTTTTACTCTATCTTCTTTGATGTATGAAATATGAATATATCATGTTACTTTAATCTATTATAGTGAATAGAGTAAATTTTCGGTTAATTTGCATAAAATCGTATCTTGTAGAAGAAAGAAAAACACTCTAAAGAATTTATCTTATTAATATTCAGTTGAGGGATAATCACATGTTGTATTAGATTCATATCAATTCAATGATAAACATAGGATTTTTCAATTTATATTCAAGGTGAATAATAAAATAACAGATTAATCTACTGTAGACTTTTTTTTATGTTCGTAACGTATCAGTGTAACAATTTATTATTGCTTAATAGACGAAAAAATTATCTTTAAAAATGGCTAAATATATCTCAGCTTGTTCATATTTTATAAATGATCAATCAGGTAAAATAATTATTTAAAAACAAAATTTATTATTTTATTTGAAAAAAAAACTTTAGAATCAGAAAATTGGATGTACAATGATGATGATGATGATAAAATGATTAATTTTAATAAAATAATGGATGAAGTTCAAGAATGGAGTGATAGAAATAATAAATATGAAATTCGTTATACATTAACACATAATCTTCTTTTAATGGGAAAAACTCGAACAGGAAAAACAACCATTGCTAAAGTTATTGAAAATCCTTGTTATATTCCACCAGATGCAAAACTTTATTCTGAAACCAAACAAGTAACTATTCATCCAGTTGCAACAACATTAAATAATAATAATAATATAATTTATTGTTTTAATATAATTGATACTCCTGGATTATTCGATAAAGTTAAATATGAAAATAGATCATTAACAAATAATAAAATAAA